GTGAACTTGACCTCACGTGTTGTAGCAATGCGACTTCGCTATGTTTGCTGGTTTGTGACATGGCCACCGGGCAACGTCCGCCGCTTCGTGCCCAAGGAGAGCTCGAGGAAGTCCCTCCATCGCCCACATTCCACCAATTCATACAAATGTATTTTGATCTCGATGACTGGTCGCCCCTGTCCTCTATCGCCTCTCGTACGCCGGCTTTCCAGCAATTTATCAAGATGTGTTTCGACCCTGCAGTTACGAGTGCGGGTTATGGGCCGCTCATTGAGGTACAATCCATCGAACCTGCAGATACCGTGTTTTGATTGCATTCCTCCAGAGTATGTTCATCCGCAATGCTTGCGAACGCCCGAAGCTCGCCCAACTCCTGGCGCAATGCACGGCATTCGAGGCCCGTCTGCGCGAACAACACCGTCTACCATAAACACGGGGAGCCAAAATATCAGAGCAGTGTCATTTGTTGTAATATCAAACTAATAAACACGGGAAAGAGAAAGAAGGAAAGCAGAGACATTTGTTGTAACACGTAACTGATTGAATGGTACTATTGGAACACTGCATTGACACTTCGTAGCTACATACATAGTTTCCTTGTGCGGAGAAAAGTATGTACGCTCGCGTGTTGGCGCTTGTAACTGGTCTGTTCTCCTACTAGCCTCCCCGGTTGACCGTTAGAACGAAAGGGGACGATTACGAGCGGCAGATTAGCCGTACATACCCGTCCAGCGACGGCCATTGACGTTCCTGTCGGATATCGAGGAATCCGACCGAAGATACATTATGTTCGAATTATATTTGGTGAAGTTGAAGTTGAACTTCAAACTCACGTGCATTGAACTTTTCAACTGTCATCTGGTGCTTGCCATCAAGGCTTTGGTCATCGAATGCTAACAATGATGGCATCTACCGTAGGGTAGCGGCGAGGTAAGTAGCGGCCTTTAGTACACAGAGAAATTCACATTAGCAATTCATCCAATATGGAGTAAAAAGTGAGAAGGTTACACACTTCAGAAAGGGAGATACTTACATTGGAACACTTGGGATCCTTCAATTCAAAATGGGACACAAGTCTGAAAGTTCTTGGTGCGTCGCGTGGAAAGAAATCCACCGGTTGTGCAGCATTGCAGACAAGTGATAGTCTGACTGTTCGCCCTCAGGCTCTCGTTGTTTGCCATCACATCAACGAACGTCACATCACTTGTGTACGTGACCGTCACAGCCGCCACATCTTTGCTCTCGACTCGCATGTCCCTCTCTTGCATGCTTTCCGGAGGAGTTGTCTTTGTTGTTGTTCTTGCAGTACCGAACTGGGAGGATTGCAGCAAACTCGCGCACTCTCAGCTGTGGCCGAAAAAGCTTCCGGATGTACTTTGATGGCCTCCAAACTTAGACTCTCGTTCACGTTCCTCCGCATGCTCAGCCTCCTCCGAGCTCGATAACTCTCACCTCTCGCTCTGGCTCCGTTCCGGGTTCCGGGGTTCGTTATCAGTGACGGCGGTGGGAACAGAATACAGATGCATTAGGACAGGCTCGCTGACGTCACAATCTCGCAATCAGAGCTGCTCCGTACACCCATGAAGCGTCTACTGCCCCGCCCGCCGTCTGTCCACTTCAGAGGTGTAAAACCTCCTTCCACAAAGCTCGTGTTATGGGATTCGCTCCCCTGGGAAATCTTCGCGGAGATCGCTGGTTTTCTCCAGAGCAACCATTTGCTAAATTTCAGCCTCACGGCGAGTAATTCCTGAGTCGCATCGCCTTCGTATTGATAGTAATTCTTGGACAGTCATCTCAGTTTCGATCGCTACTACTACCAGAGTTGTACAGGACCGTTGCGCTCGACAGCAGCCGCGCATGCCTCTCGGGATTGACCATGCTGCGGAAGCACCCGGAGCTATGTGTCTATATACGCACCCTGATACTGCGGCCAAACTGCGCAGTTACATGCTGGCCTCGGACGGATGCCCCCGTTTGCGAAACAAAGGTCGCATCCCTGATCGAAGATCTCGTTGATGACCTTGGCAACCTCGAGAAATTGGAGTGGGGTGGGGCTGATCTGCCTCCCAACGAGTTATGTATCGCTCTTAGACGAGCGTGCGTAATTTTTCTCTATACTCAATGCTCTACTCGGCTGAATCCAGGCCCTAGTTGTGCGATGCTCACTAAAATTGTTTCGTCGGCGGCGGGATCCGGATATCTCAATGCTGAATCTGAGGTCAGTCAATTAGTTCTGTGCCACGAATCAATTAATCCAACCTACACAGATCTTTAACTTCGAGAATCTTACAGTGTTATCGCTTTTTGTTCCACCGGGCCCGAAAAAAGGTACGCGATAATCCGTACCTATTGGAGCTCTTATCTTACATCGGGCCCTAGAGTTCTTGCTGACTGATATTCCACATACTCTGTGGGATATGCTCACCCACTGCGCCGCTAACCTACAAGAGCTGACTCTCCAACTATTCTACTCGTCCCACCATCTACTCGACCTCGATCGGCTCTTGACCACCGTGTTCCCGCGTCTCCGCGCCTTCCACTTGGACATCATGTGCGACTCCGTCCGTTCTCAGCCCTTCAAGCTCCTCAGCCCCTTTCTTTCCGCGCATCCGCTCCTCACCGCACTCAGCATCCATCCGTCCCCCAACACGCCCCGCCTCGACCTGCCCCCAACTGCTCTGCCCCGGCTGACCGCATTCGTAGGCGTGTATCAGCACGTTGCGGAGCTGCCTAATCCCAAACTACTGGAGACGCTCGACCTCACCGGCGTGCCCGTGTCTGCACTCGACATGAAAGCTGTGGTCACTGCTCTGCGCGCCCTCGTCTCGCTCAAGAGTCTCGACGTGCGGCTCGCCGCGCCCTGTCTTCTAGCTTCGATCATCGAAGTCTGTGGCGGGCTGACGACTCTCCGCATCGTGTTCGCCGCAAATTTCGGAATGGTACGTACCGACCCGTCCTCATCGTCAATTGAATCGCCCTGATGTGCGCTCACAGAAAGACCTCCGATCGATCTCCGCTTCACTCCGCCACCTACCGCACCTGCGTTCGTTCACATTGTACAAAGGCCACCGCCGCTTCACCGACGGCACGATGCTCCAATGTGCGCTCACGATCCTGGCCGACAACCCGGGGTTGCAGGAGGTCTACCTCGCGTGGTTCGCTCTGCGAGAGCGCTTCGCGCGCCGCCAGAATGGATCGTATGTGGTGTGCAGGGATGGGACGGGGATGCGATACGTTGATGTGTGCGAGCGCGGGATGCGCAGTGCGAAGGTTGGCGGTGGAGTATTCGGGCGTCGATTTCGGTATGCGTTGGAGGGAAAGGTAGATCTGAGGACGAGCGTAGGAAGGAGGTTGGCGAGGATCCGGCGGTGAGGGTCCCGCTTTGCGCTTTCTTTCGTGCTCCTGGCTCGGCGGGTTGTTCACTTCCTTGTTTTTAATCTGTATATTCTACTAGCTGTAGAGTTTATTGTCTTTTCCAGTACTGTTACATGCGGACTTGTATAGCCTTATTTTATCCGTGTTCCCAGGAGTCGGCTGGTGGGATGTAAATCGAATCGTCCTAATACCTAAATGATCCCGAACGACGCCATACGCTAACCTGCCCGTGCGCGCACCCAGCTCCGGCAAGCCACCGGGAAAAACGGAAAAACGACGACGCACTGGGAGCTGTCTCGGCAGGAAAGTAGGAGATTCCAGCGAGACTTGAGCCATCGCGTAACGTGGCGAACACTTGTACTTACATATGTATTTTCTGAGAACGTTCTTCCCAGCCAAGCTCGCAACATTTTCCTGTAACTCCAATATCAGCGGGTATTTCATATTGCGAGTAGTGCTGTCCTGATATTAATATGGTTTTTGCCATATTATATCGCGCTGGGTGGCGGTTGAAGCGCCTCCCGCCTCCTTGGCTTTGGGCTTCCAGTGTCTCCCAGAGATCTTATCGAAGCTTTGAGGACTTACATCGCACCAATATAGTCCGCCCTTCCAACTGTTGACCAGGCAAACTGAGTCACTGCAAACTGTTGAACTGACGTCGAGTGATTGCCGAGAGGTGCCGTCCCATTCGGAACGCATCTGGCATCTCGGTGGCCTTATCCACTGATCTTGATCAATCGTGCTATCAGCGGCTTTTCGGCTTGCCTCAGTTCAATTTCGAATTTCAACCACAACAACGTGAATTGAAAGCAAAGGGTATGTTGTAATACAAGCACCGGTTGTGCATGACCGCTCCTATAAACATATCTTCGCTTCATGGTGAATGGTGCCGCCCAACACAGCAAGGCCATTTTTTTTTCTTCCATGTCGCAGACTTCCCCTGATTGTTCCCTCCAGTTTTTCGTTCTGTGGCTTCTGTGGTTCACTCCTGTTCTTTTACTTGCTGATTCCTTCTCCACGATGTAAGGTCATTTCAAAGCATGAAAAAAAAAAGAAGCGATGATTTCAATTTGGAGATCCCAAAATCAATGTACATACCTCACTGATTAATCAAGACTCAGCCCAATTCGTAGATACAATGGAGCATCGGTTGTGCATGGTGCACGCGTTGGTTTCATCGTCACGCTTGATCCAGACTTTGCAGTGACTGGGGTTCGATTCCCCACTGGTTCGTGAGACAGTCCAGTGACGTTTTTGTTCAACTCTTTCTTTTTAGTTTACGACGCCTTGTAGTATTCAGTTGAATCGGAATCTACTTCTAGTTATCGGCCCCAGGCACGGAATCTGAAAATGTCGATGAAAAGGATACAAGGAGGGATATAAGCACCAGTTGTGCAGGGTGCACGCATTGCCTTAGTGATAGAATGCATCCCAGGTTAATGATAAACGGGGTTCGATTCCCCGCCGGTGCATTTTATTGATCTACTCTCAATTTCTCCACTTTTCGTTGTGTTTATTTCTTTTGTTTCGATTTACAATTACCGTCTGAGTCCCAGTATTCTAAGTTGAATCATTCAATGTGCAGGCTAGGGTATCATTCAGTAAACAAGCCAGGGTATCATAGTGCACTGGTTGTGCATGGTGCACACGCCACTTTCATTTGTGAGTTCGCAAAGGATATTTCATGGCGAATATTTCATGGCGAACGGGGTTCGATTCCCCACTGGTGCATATTTGAAGAACTTTAAATCTTTTTTCTTCCTCTTTCATTCACATGTTTGGTTTTTCCCCCGCCAGACTGGGCTCAACCCAAAGGGTGCTTACAAGCACTGGTTGTGCATGGTGCACACATCGCCTTTGTAAAGCCGGCATTCTGATGAATTGACGGTGAATGGGGTTTGACTCCCTGCTGGTGCATGACCACGGATGCTATGGGTTCTCTTTCTTTTTCCTCGGTGCACTGCTCTCTTTTCACTTATTTGAGTTCCCGCCACTCATTTCGAAGCCAAAGGCAAGCTGCTCCCTGAAGCTTGGGCATATTCATATTCCTTGTATCTCAAACTAAATGTGTGCCTCACAATGGGTAAAATGGTGCACTGGTTGTGCATGGTGCATGCGCCAATATTGTAAATAGGAATGAAGGTATTTATGGTGAAAGGGGTTCGATTCCCCACTGGTGCATGACCAAGAATGCTATAGTTTTTCTCTCTTTTTCCTCGGTGCACTGCTCTCCTTTCACATTATCTGAGTTCCCGCCACTCATTTTGAAGCAAAAGGCAAGCTCCTCCCTTAATTTTGAGTATATTTCTTGTATTTCAAAACCTGGTGTGTATGACCTCCTAAGCAGTTACGTGTGAAGGGTTCAATGGAGCACTGGTTGTGTCTGGTGCACTCACTGATTATCTATAATGTCCCCACAAGGTCATAGTGACTCGGGTTCGATTCCCCACTGGTGCATTTTCAATTTCAAGCTTTTTTTCTTCCTCTTTCATTCGCATGTTTGGTTTTTCCCTCCACCAGACTGGGATCAAACCAAAGGGTGTGAGCACCGGTTGTGCATGGTGCATGCACTACTTTGATGGTCAAGGTAACGGTTGAAATATCTAATGGTGAATGGGGTTCGATTCCCCACTGGTGCATGACCACAAAAATGTTAGGGTTTTTCTTTCTTTTTCCTCGGCGCACTGCTCTCCTCTCACTTATTTGAGTTCCCTTCACTCATTTTGAAGCATCAAAAGGCAAGCTCCCTTAAGCTTGGGCCCTTGTATCTCAAAATCTGATGTGTACTTATATCCTCCTAAGTAGTTGTATGTGAATGGTACAATGGAGCACTGGTTGTGCATGGTGCACTCACTGCTTATGTAAGCTATTCCCCTGACATCACAGTGACCTGGGTTCGATTCCCCGCCGGCGCATGCTACAAACCTGAAGTACTTTTGCTTTTTATTGTTTGTTTCCCCATCCTCGTTATAACAACGTTGTGGTAATCCAAGTTGAATCGCTTCAACTTATCATGTAAGTTGAACCATGAATCCCAGATTTAATGTAAATAAAAGAACGGGTGTATACTGGGAGGAATGGAAGTACTGGTTGTGCATGGTGCATGCACCGCTTTATTGAGAGATAAACCATATCCTTCACGGTGACTGGGGTTTGATTCCCAGCTGGTGCATTTTCAGGAACTTTAAGTCTTTTTTCTACAGTTTCTTCTTTCATCTGTTTGCTTTTTTCCTCTACCATGTCATGTTGTTTTGAAGGTTAACTTGCCCTTTGACAAAGGCGTATTGCGACGGCCCTGGCCCATGTGTTCATTATTCAGGTTGATGCGCTGCATCTACGCGCATTCAATCGCAAGGCTTTTCAGATAACCTCCAGCCTATTCCTTGTATCTATCTCAAAATCAAATGTGTGCTTCACAAAGCACGGTGGAAGGTATGGGAGGAATGGAGCACTGGGTGTGCGTGGCGCACGCATCGTCTTCATAAATGATACCACATTGTTCACGATGACCGGGGTTCGATTCCCCACTGGTGCATAGACTGAGGAGTAAGCCTTTTACTTTTTTCAACATCAACACCAACTTCAAGGTTCAACTCGGAGTTCAGGATCCAGCGTGAGATTGTATATTATATCTGAGGCCAGTACTCGCGAGTTTTGCCACTCCGACTGAAAGGTATATATGTGTGGAGAAAATATATGGACACCGGTAGTGCGCGGCATCTTTGTTCTCGGGGACCTATGAATAGCGACTAGTCTGACTGAGAGACTATCGGCGACCTAACTGAGTCTCATCGGACGTGTTCGACTCAACTTTCGAGGGTCTATATGTGTTTGAAAACCGGCGCCGCCTCCCTCACGTCCTCGGGGAACTATTCTTGGCGCGGGGTTCGATTCCTCGGCGGCGCATTTGTGGAAGTGAAACGGAAACAGTTTTTTTCTATTCCGTGTCGCACTCCGAGTCGCTTTGTTCGATTTTGTCCCATCGGCTCGCGGTGCACGCAACGGAGCTCCAGTCCAACAAACGTGGAAGCCGTGAGTTGAATTGTGGGCGTATTCCGTGTGCGCAGTTGAGAGTCAAACAAATAGAGCGCGTCTTGCCCTTGACTACTGTACAGTAGCAGGTGGACGAGAGGAGCAAGCGGTGGGCGGGAGTCGGACCGAGAGCTTGCCGAGAGCGCCGATTCCTGCATACACGACGAGATGAGTCTGCCACAACGAGGCCATGCGCGTCGCAATCGTCGCCGGTGTGTCCTCGTCTCTCTACACGATTATCTCTGACTGTTGCAGAGAACTTCCTGCCCAAGATCGACGGATCGACCATCACGCTCGCGCACCTCCTCCAACACCTCTCCGCCTCCAACATCCGCGCCCTCCTCCTCGGCCCCGAGACAGGCATGTCCACCTACGCCGGCGCGCACCTTCGGCGTCCCCCTGCGCGTCTACCCCGGCCTCAAAATTTCATGTGCGTCCCACTTGATTGATTTTTATTCAACCGCTTATTGGCTCCGGTCAGCCCTCCTTCCGCCCGCCCGCCCTCTGCGCCTCCTGGGGCGCCCTCCCGACGACGACGACGTCCTCTCCGTCGGCTGCCTCTCCCTCGAGAAGAACCTCGGCCTCGACGTAGACGCGTACGCTGCGCTCGTTGCGTCCCTTGCGTCTCTCTCGGGTGCGTTGGTTTCCTTCTTTACCCTTCTCTTCTTCTCACTCTTTGCCTCCAGACGCGCCCCTCATCTTCGTCGGCCCCAACGCCGTTACGCGCTGCTCCCCCGTACGATACGACCACAGCGATCTACGAGCGCACCAGCACGAGCACGAGAGCGAATGTGGGTGAGGAAAGGGTGCGTTTTCATTTCTTCCATTCTTTCTTTCTTTCCTTCTTAAAAACAAGTTCTTTCTTCGAGTCGTGCACTGACTCACTCTTTCTTTCATATTTGCTTAGTTCTCAGTTCATTTCCTGCGTCTTCGGATTGCACATTTCGTTCCCCTCGGACTTCAAGCCCAGTGTATCCCACCCGCACCCCGCTACCAGCGCCGGCACCTCGCGCGCGGATGACCTACAGTAGCAGGGAGTAAGACGGATTCGTGGAGCGGCGAGTGCGTATCGAATATTGCTATCTTTTCTTTCTATTTTTTTTCCTTCCTTTTTATGGGAGTTTGCGCGCGCGGTGCGGTGGGGAATGAGGCGCTCGAGGCACGGAGGGGGTGTTCCAAGAACGGATTGGTTACGTGTCAGCCAACACGACGCTCGAGACGCGCAGGCGGGCGTTTTGTCGGACAAGGACGCGTCTTGGGAATGCTTACACACATTCTGCTTGTCCGCCCGACGTTCGAGCTGCGCGGGTGCTCGTTGTCCGCGTTTGAAGAGACGTGGTGGCTCCATTCCCTTATCTTCCCTCTCTTCTGTTCTGTTCTCTTCCTCCGTCCCCGCTCTCTTCCACACTCCCGCTCCTCCTGTTCCTCCTCCCCCTCCCCTCCTTCTCCTTCCATCTCACCTCTCAAGGGGGTGCGGGCCGGACAAGCCGGGACCTAGGGCAGGGAGGGTGGTCGGCCAAAAGGTCAGTTAAAAAAAAATAATGACCTCCCTTGATTCAAGTTGAAATGGCCTGTGGTGCATCCTACTGAGTTACAGAACACTGTCTACCACCTATTTGGCTCAAATCGAGCATTTGGAGGAGGGCAATCACTCTTCTTCGCTATTTTGTCCCATTTTGGAAAGATCAGCCATCAATGTGGTCATATTTGACAGTGGGATCAAATGTGGAACATAGGTACTGAAGGCCTCTGAAAGTAAAGCTGCATTGAAGGAAGGTGTCTGAATGCCCGCCAGTGCTCACCTCGTCAATATTGAATACATCCAGCATGTTGATGCTGCCAAATAAGGAAATATTTCCTTATTTGGACATCACGTGGTAGGGTGGGTCCCGCAAACGGTCGATAATAAAAAAAACGGCATAAGGTGTTTTTTTTTGTTTTCCGTACCCCCTTGTCACCTCTCGCTGTCCTCTTCACTCCTCTCCAAGCCCTTGACTCGCACCGCGCTGACACCTCTACTCAGGCTGCGCCCCGCCGCCATCGCGCTCCACACGGTGACACGTCGAGGCACCGGCGTTCGTCGTGCCCTGATCACAATCTCGGAAGAGCAGGAGAACGTGCGCGGCATCTGCGCTCGCCACACAAACACAAGCACCAGTACGAGCAGCGAACGCACCGCGCGCGGCGGTAGGGCAGAGTACGGCGTTCTCGCTCGCCCCACGCGCCAGCATCGACCCCATCGCCGCTCCACTGACTGAAGAACGCAGCGGAATCATGGCCTTCTCTCGCTCGCGATCGCCAAAGCAGCGGTGGCGTACGGCGGTCTCCCCACCCCGCGCGCTGCCCCGTCTCCCCACCCCCGCGCGCTGCTCCGTCTCTCTCACGTTTCCTCCCCGCACAAGCCCGCATCGACAGCGCGCACGCCGACACATCGCCGCAGATCAATTAATCCAACCTACACAGATCTTTAACTTCGAGAATCTTACAGTGTTATCGCTTTTTGTTTAGTGATGTTCCGGCTTTGGCTTGGCCTGAAAGCCCTGGCTTTGGCCCGCATTTGGCGGCTTTGGCTTCTCAAAACCCCAGGCCAGGCCGCGCCGTCTAGGCTTGGCTTGGCCTGGGCCGGCTTTGGCCTGAGCCGGGGCTTTTGCCGAAATTTCGGCATCATCATTGATTGCTCCAATACAACTACCCCGAGTTCATACTTGGTGTGTTATGATCAAGGAGCAGTCTGAGCCCTCCCTGGTTGATTATTGGGCTGAGGAGGGTCCTTATTCTTGTCAATAGAGACATCCAAAACATGTGACACGTAAAGTCACGGTCTGTCTGACTGCTCCCCTTTTCCTCGGCAACCCGTTTCAGTTGATGTGTGACTTAGGGGGCTCCGGCGACGGCATCCAAGAGCCGCAAGGAAAAAAGATGGCCGCCGAAGGGCAAATCATGATGGTTACTGTTCCATTTTGTTCAATTCGTAAGCCGTTTTAGGGTGTGACACGGCTTACGAATTGTGTCTTTCGTATGATGCGCTGCGACCGTGTGACTTACGAAAAAAAATTCGTATAAAATGCCCCGCAGGGCCGCCCGGAGCGATTTTTTGGGGCTGGACAGAGGGAAACCTTTCGTATGAACCCGTTGTGACGCTGTGACTTACGAAAATTTTCGTAGATTTTGGGGCGTGTGACGTGTGACCCTACGAATTGAACGAAATGGAACAGTATGTCATATGTCTTAGGCACCCGTGAAAGCCGGGGCTTTCCGGCTCGGCTTTGGCTTGGAGGAGTGCCAGGCCGGGCCAAAAGCCGTGTCAGGCCGATATTTTGGCTCGGCTTTGGCCCGGTACCAAAGCCAAAAAGCCGGGGCTTTTTGGCCTGAGGCCAAAGCCGGAACATCACTATTTTTGTTCCACCGGGCCCGAAAAAAGGTACGCGATAATCCGTACCTATTGGAGCTCTTATCTTACATCGGGCCCTAGAGTTCTTGCTTACTGATATTCCACATACTCTGTGGGATATGCTCACCCACTGCGCCGCTAACCTACAAGAGCTGACTCTCCAACTATTCTACTCGTCCCACCATCTACTCGACCTCGATCGGCTCTTGACCACCGTGTTCCCGCGTCTCCGCGCCTTCCACTTGGACATCATGTGCGACTCCGTCCGTTCTCAGCCCTTCAAGCTCCTCAGCCCCTTTCTTTCCGCGCATCCGCTCCTCACCGCACTCAGCATCCATCCGTCCCCCAACACGCCCCGCCTCGACCTGCCCCCAACTGCTCTGCCCCGGCTGACCGCATTCGTAGGCGTGTATCAGCACGTTGCGGAGCTGCCTAATCCCAAACTACTGGAGACGCTCGACCTCACCGGCGTGCCCGTGTCTGCACTCGACA